CGGCCACTGCACTCCAGTCTGGACAACAGAGTGAGACTCCAACTCAAAAAATAAAAAAAATAAAAAAGACAGTATAAGACAAAAAAATCTCCAATTTACATTTTTTTTTTTTGAGTTGGAGTCTCACTCTGTCACCCAGGCTGGAATGCAGGCATGCTCTCGGCCACCGCAGCCTCAACCTGCTGGGCTCAGGCAATCCTGCCTCAGCCTTCCAAGTAGCTTTCCAGCTACAGGAACACACCACCATGTCCGGCCAATTTTTTTTGATTTGTTGTAGAGATGAGGTCTCGACAAGTTGCCCAGGCTAGTTTGGACCCCGCAGGCTCAGGTAATCCTCTCACCTCAGCCTCCCAAAGTGCTGGGATTATAGGCTTAAACTACAATGCCTAGCCAATTTACATTTTCAAAAGCACGTCTACATTCCACAATTAAAATTCCTAATTGAAGCCAGGCTCTGTGGCTCAGCCTGTAATCCCACGCCTTTGGGAGGCTGAGGTGGATTGCCTGAGCCCATGGGCTCGAGACCCACCTGGGCAGGTGAGACCTCATCTCTACAATAAATCAAAAAATTAGCCGGGCGTGATAGCACGTGCCTGTAATTCCGGCTACTCAGAAGGCTGAGGCGGAAGGATTGCCAGAGCCCAGCAGGTCAAGGCTGCGGTGTCCAGAAGCGACCACCGCACTCCAGTCTGGGCGACAGAGTGAGACTCCTACTCAAAAAACAAAACAAAACAAAAAAAAGACTGCACTGGGCGGGCACATTGGCTCACGCCTATAATTCCAGCAATTTGGGAGACCGAGGTGAGAGGATTGCCTGAGCCCACAAGTTTGAGACCAGCCTGGGCATCTTGGCGAGACCTCATCTCTACAATAAATCAAGAAAAATTAGTCAGGTATGATAGTGCATGCCTGTAGTTCCATCATGTTACTTGGAAGGCTCAGGTGGAAGGATGGCCTGAGCCAGCAGTTCGAGGCTGCAGTGGCCATGAGTTTGCCACTGCACTCCAGCCTGGGAGGCAGAGTAAGACTGCAACTTGGGGGGGAAAAAAAATAACTGGGCAGGCTGTAATGAGCCATAATCATGCTACTACACTCCAGCCTGGGTTACAGAGTGAAACTCCAACTCCAAAAAAAAAAAATTCCTGGCTGGGGTGCAGTGGCTCACATCTGTAATTCCATGGGAGGTAGGAACAAGAGGATTGCCTGAGTCCATGGGATCCAAACCAACCTGGGCAACATGGTAAGACTTCATCCCAACAATAAATGAAAAAAATTAGCCAGGCGTGGTGGCACGCACCTGTAGTTCCAGCTACTTGGAAGGCTGAGGTGGAACGATCACCTGAACCCAGCAAGCTGAGGCTGTAGAGGCCATAAGCATGCCACTGCACTCTAGCCTGGGTGATGGAGTGAGACTCCAACTCAAAAAAACATAACAAAACAAAACCTTTAGATCCTAGAATGGAAGGATTTTTATTTTTTTATATTTTTTTATTTTATTTTATTTTTTGAGTTGGAGTCTCACTTTGTCACCCAGACTGGAGTGAGGTGGCCGCTCCCGGACACCGCAGCCTCGACCTGCTGGGCTCCGGCGACCCTTCCGCCTCAGCCTTCCAAGTAGCCGGAATTACAGGCATGAGTTACAACGCCCGGCTGATTTTTTCATTTCTTGTAGAGATGAGGTCTCGCTGCCCAGCTGGGTCTCAAAACCGTGGGCTCAGGCAATCCATTCACCTCAGCCTCCTAAAGGCACGGGATTACAGGCTGAGCCACCGAGCCCTGCCTATTTATTTATTTTATTTATTTATTTTTTTGAGTTGGAGTCTCACTCTGTCGCCCAGACTGGAGTGCAGTGGCCATTCCCGGCCACCACAGCCTCGACGTGCTGGGCTCCAGCGATCCTTCCGCCTCAGCCTTCCAAGTAGCCAGAATTACAGGCACGCACTACCACGCCCAGCTGATTTTTTGATTTATTGTAGAGATGAGGTCTTCCTGCCCAGGCGGGTCTTAAACCCGTGGGCTCAGGCAATCCGCTCACCTCAGCCTCCCTAAGGCGTGGGATTACAGGTTGAGCCACCGAGCCCGGCTTAATTTTTTATTTTTAATCAATATTTTTTATTATGATATTGTGGGGTACAGTTAAGGGTTAGGTTTACAAATATGCTTCATTCAGGCACCCTTGTTGATAAGAGGTGTCTCCCCGTCCCTGGAAGGACTTTTCTAAAAAAAAAATTAAAAGGCCAGGCGCAGTGGCTCATACCTATTATCCTAGCACTTGGGAGGCCGAGGTGAGAGGATTGCCTGAGCCTAGGAGTTTAAGACCAGCCTAGGCAACATGGCAAGACCTCATCTCTACAATAAATCAAAAATTTATTCAGGTGTGGTGACGAGTACCTGTGGTTCTAGCTTCTTGGAAGGTGGAGGTGGAAGGATTGCCTGAGCCTAGCACATCAAGGCTGCAGTGGCTGTGAGCATGCCACCGCACTCCAGCCTGCTATAAAAAACTAAAATTAAAAATAAAATATCCAGGTTAATGCTAGGCATGTGGGTTGAATCTCACTCCTTGTCTACCTTCCTGTTGCCATGGTTCTGGACACATGGAGCAGATTACCTCTTTCCTGACTATAAACTCTGGGAAATGCTGAGTTTGTCACTTCAGTGCATCTATAGGTGCAAATCAAGCTCTGGTATGTCACACTTCACTTTTCCCACTATTCCCACTGGACACCAACTGTGGTCATAACTCTGTTTACTGACCTTCCATCTACTTCTATGACAAATATAGCCATCACAGGAATTCTGTGTGGTTTTATTTGTTTTGTTTTTTGTTTTTTTAGTTGGAGTCTCACTCTGTCGCCCAGACCGGAGTGCAGTGGCTGCTCCCGGCCACTGCAGCCTCGACCTGCTGGGCTCTGGCGATCCTTCCGCCTCAGCCTTCCGAGTAACCAGAATTACAGGCATGCGCTACCATGCCCAGCTGATTTTTTGATTTATTGTAGAGATGAGGTCGCGCTGCCCAGGCAGGTCTCGAACCCGCGGGCTCAGGTAATCCACTCACCTCAGCCTCCCAAAGGCACGGGATTAGCCCGGCTGTGTTTTTTTTTTTTTAGTCAGAGTCTCACTCTGTCACCCAGGCTGGAGTGCAGTGCCATGATCATAGCCACTGTAGCCTTGACCTGCTGGGCTCAGTTGATCCTTCTGCCTCATCCCTCCAAGTAGCTGGAAATACTGGTGTGGGCCACCACACCCACTAATTTCTTGATTTATTGTAGAGACACAGTCTCGCCAAGTTGCCCCAGTTGGTCTCAAAACCCTCTGCTCAGGCAATCCTTTCACCTTCACCTCCCAACATTCTGGGGTAGGAATTCTTGATGAACGCTAACAAGTCTACAATTTGTTCCATTACACTGATAACAAAAAATTCTGGTTCCCAAATTTCAGATGCAATTTCAACATGATACTCTATTTCTTTCCATTCCATATACTAATCTAAAATCTGAAATCACTAGCAGAACTAATTTGCAAAGAAAAAAAATAAAAATGTTAGAAGGACGCTCTTGTCAGAAGCAGTTAATTTAGGATACAAGCAACTTAACTTCTCCCCAAGAGTCTAAAAAGACTTCTGATGTAGATGCAAATCAAGGATACTTGTTTCTATCTCCTCAAACTAAGAAAGTCAGGTTCACAATGTCCATATTACAGATAATACACCCAACCTCAGGTCACTGCCCAGGTGAACAATTATCTGGAAAATCAACATTTACTGCACCTGAAAAGAGTCCGGAGTTGTCTATCGGGCCAGGAAACAGATTATGTTCACCTACATTGTACATATCCCAGCTGTCAAAGCCCACATACTTCTTCCACTGCTTGAACCACCGGCTGTCAATAAGATACCTAGAGAGAGAAAAAAATTTACGGTAGCAAAAAAGCTGAGGTTATATGTTTCTGCAGCTGCTCCCTTCATCTTTTAGAGGAGCATGTAATTCCCATATAAAACACACTCAGACCAGGCATGGTGGCTCATGGCTGTAATTCCAGTGCTTTGGGAACTGAGGTGGAAGGACTGCTTGACTCCAGAAGTTCAAGACCAGCTTGGACAAGACAGCAAGACCCCCATCTCTACAAAAAAAATACAAAAATTAGTCAGGTGTGGTGGTGTGTGTTTATAGGCCTAGTTACTCGGGAGGCTGAGGCAAGAGGATTGCTTGACCCCAGAAGGTTGAAGCTGCAGTGAGCCATGATGGCGTCATCATGCTCCAGCCTGGATGACAGCATCTGTCTCAAAAAAACAAAACAGCTGGACACAGTGGCTCATGCCTGTAATCCCAGCAGTTTGGGAGGTGAAGGTTGCAAGGACTGCCTGAGCAACTGCGCAACTTGGCAAGACCTCGTCTCTACAATCAAGAAAAAAATTAGCTGGGTGTGGTTGTGCATACTTGTAATCCCAGTTACTTAGAAGGCTGAAGTGGAAGGTTTGCCTGCGTCCAACAGGATGAGTAATCATGAGCATGACACTGCACTCCAGCCTGGGCAACAGTGAGACTCAGACTTAAACAAACACCCATGCTCACAAGAGCAGAAGCAAGGGCCAGGCCCCACATGACACAGAGGGCCTGGCCCAGGGCAGGTATTCATTAAGTGAAATGAAAAGTAAATAAATAGCCTGGCACAGAGGCTCACATCTGTAATCCCAGTACTTTAGAAGGTGGAGGTGAGAGGACAGCCTAAGCCCATGGGTTCAAGACCAGCCTGGGCACCTTGGCAAGACTTCATCTCTACAGTAAAACAAAAAAATAAGCCAGGTGTGGTAGTGTGTGTCTGTAGTTCCAGTTACTTGGAAGGCTGAGTCCAGAAGGATTGCCTGAGCCCAGCAGGTTGAGGCTACAGTGGCCGAGAGCATGCCTGCATTCCAGCCTGGGCAACAGAATGAAACTTTGACTCGACCCGCCTGGGCAGCAAGACCTCATCTCTACAATAAATCAAAAAATCAACCGGGCGTGGTAGTGCATGCCTGTAATTCCGGCTACTTGGAAGGCTGAGGCGGAAGGATCGCCGAAGCCCAGCAGGTCAAGGTTGCCGTGGCCGGGAGCGGCCACTGCACTCCAATCTGGGTGACAGAGTGAGACTCCAACTCAAAAAAAAAAAAAAAAAAATTAGTCAAGCGTGGTGGTACATGCCTGTAGGTTCAGGTGAGGCAGAAGGATCACCTGAGCCCAGCAGGTCGAGGCTGCAGTGGCCACGTACTGCAGCCTAGGCAACAAAATAAGACTCTAATTCAGAGGAAAAAAAAGTGACTAAATAAATAAAAGGAAAAAAAGGGCTTCGAATTGCTTATCCTTTCTATGAGGAGTCATGTTTGCTAATGAACAAATCATTAATTTCATGATTATCTTTACAGAGATCCTTGTCCAGGCAGACAGTTTGATGATACTACTTTGCTTGACTTGGAAAGCATTAAGCTAATTTTATTTCTGAAAGTAGAATAGTAATACCACTCACTTCAATTTGCCTTTGAGAAGCAAACAAGATATCAAAACATGTACATACGCGTGTACATATACATATATACACACACATACACATATATGCATAATAGTGCCTATGTATGTTCATCTTGTCAAAAAGCAATGTGGGCCAGACTTGGTGGCTCAGCCTGTAATCCCAAAACTTTGGGAGGCCGAGATGAGTGGATTGCCTGAGACCACGGGTTCAAGCAGAGACCAGGCAACACGGTGAGGCCTCGTCTCTACAATAAAACAAAAAAAATTAACCGGGCATGGTAGCACGCGCCTGCAGTTTCGCCTACTTAGAAGACTGAGGCAGAAGGACTGCCTTACCCCAACAGGTCAGCACTGGGGTGTCCATGAGCATGCCACTGTACTGCAGCCTGAGAGAGGGAGTGAGACACCAACTTAAAACAAATAAATGAATAAATAAGCCGGGCTCGGTGGCTCAGCCTGTAATCCCGCGCCTTTGGGAGGCTGAGGTGAGTGGATTGCCTGAGCCCACGGGTTCAAGACCCGCCTGGGCAGGCGAGACCTCATCTCTACAATAAATCATAAATTAGCCGGGCGTGGTAGCGCGTGCCTGTAATTCCAGCTACTCGGAAGGCTGAGGCGGAAGGATCGCCAGAGACCAGCAGGTCGAGGCTGTGGTGGCCAAGAGTGGCCACTGCACTCCAGTCTGGGTGACAGAGTGAGACTCCAACTCAAAAAAAAAAGAATTAATAAATAAAATAGGCCAGGCCCAGTGACTCATACCTGTAATCCCAGCACTTTGGGAGGCCAAGGCGAGAGGATTGCCTGAACTCAGAGATTCAAGACCAGCCTGAGCAACATGGCGAGACCTCATCTTTACAATAAATCAAAAATCTGTCAGGCGTGGTGGCACATGCCTATAGTTCCAGCTACTTGGAAGGCTGAGGTAGAAGGAACACCTAGGCCCAGCAGGTCAAGGCTGTGGTGGCCATGAGCATGCCACTGCACTCCAGCCTGGGTGACAGAGTGAGACTCCAACTCAAAAATAAGTAAATAAACTGGGCTCGGTGGCTCAGCCTGTAATCCCACACTTTGGGAGGCTGAGATGACTGGATTGCCTGAGCCCGCGGGTTCAAGACCGGCCTGGACAACTTGGTGAGACCTCATCTCTACAATAAATCAAAAAAATTAGCCGGGTGTGGTAGCACGTGCCTATAATTCCAGCTAC